GATACTGCCTCGGAAACCCAAGGAGGGGTCGCTATGAGTCAGGGCTGACTCGATGGCACATAACAACAACAACATCTCTCAGAGTAGGGTTAGATGAGATGCAAGATTCCAGGAGGGGTAGGTCTGGTGAGGAGATTGTAGGGGTTGGGGTGGTAGAATCCAGAAGAGACCCAGCTATTCTAGAATGGAGAAAAGTTAACCTCCAGTGCATGACCGGAGTACTGAGAGCCTCAGTTAACCTTCAAGCTAATTGCACTCTCAGGTATATATCTCAAGACACACATATATAAGTTCACCAAAAGACTATATAAGAATGTTCGTAGCAGCATTACTCTTAATAGCTCAAAACATGGAAACCACTCAAATGCCCATTAACAGTAGAACTAGAGTATAATTATATAATGGAGTGCTAAACAACAATGAGAATCAACCACAACTACTCTTTTTGGAGCATTATGGAAAAATCTCACAATGTGCAGTGAAAGAAGCCAGATCCCAAAAGACACAGTATATGATTATTTTCTCTAAAGTTCAAATACAAACAAATTCAGTCATGGTATTAGAAGTCAGAGGAGTGATCATGTTGTGGGGAGGGAGCTTCTGAGGTGCTAGTAATGCTGCTTCTTCACCTGTGTGCTAGATACATGGGTATGAACGTTTATGAAGTTCCTCAACCTGCACACTCATCATTTGGGAACTTTTCTCAACCCCTGCTGTTCTCCAATAACAGTGGTTCTCCACATGGAGACCAGCTAGCCTCAGGACTGAAGTCTCAACTCATTTGGGCAGGGAGGGCCCTTTTCTCTCTTCATCATCTAATTGCTTTGCAGAGCTGTAGTTTCCAGACCTAGCAACTCCTTGCTCATCGTAAGTAATGCCTTCCTTATGCAGCAGGGAGGTGAGGACACCCTGAACTAGGTAACCTAGGAACAGAGTGTCATTTAAGGAGGTGGGAAGGGAGACTAGAGGTTTGAGACCAGCTCCCAAGGCACAAACTACTGGTGATGCAGGGCAGAGTCTTCAGCAATCAACCCTACAGAGCCGCTGAGCCAGGAAGGCAGCTGGCCAGGCTCAAAGCCCAGGCCCCCAAACATTCATTCCTCAGTGGCAGATTTATGGGGCACTGTGCAATCCCCTTAGCTGTAGAGGCAGACAAGGTTTAAATCCTGGTCTTATTGCTGGCTTCCCCAGTGACTTACACCAAGTCCCTTAACCCCATTTTATAACTGAGAGGAAGTTACCATCAACCTGCTTTGCAAGATGGTCATAAGCAGAAAAACGAAAGAATATTAGACTGTAAACTCCCCAAGGGCAAGATTGTACTTATTCATTGCTTTAGTTCTATAGCTGTAGAGACAATAAATAAATCTTTACTGAAAACTAAAATGTGAATAGAGGGCATAGCCCAGAATAAAGGCTCAATTTTTTTTTCTTTTTAACACAGAAACCCAAACCAAACTCACTGCCGTCAAAGTCAATTTTGACTCATAGCGACCCCTCCTTGGTTTCCAAGGCAGTATTCTGGTTAGCAGCCAGCATTCTGGTTAGCAGAAAACTAAGATAAGCAGCAAAAACAATTCTGAAGTCCACCCATGCTCAAAATCCTACCAAAGCTGACAACCATTAGCTTTCAATCTTACCCAAAGACGGACTAAATAGTCAACTGAATCCTCTCTCAGCGACCAAAATAAAGTGCTGGATGTTTCCCTGCCCTCAAGCCACCTTAGTTGTTCACCATTAAGGATGGGGATGGTGTAGTGCCTAAGGCATTTGACTGCTAACCAGAAGGCTGGCAGTTCAACCCCCCCAGCCACTCTGCGGAAGGAAGACTGGGCAATCTACTTCCATAGAGATACTGCCTCAGAAACCCAAGGAAGGGTTGCTATGAGTAAGGATCAACTCCACGGCAGTGAGTTTGTTTTTTGTTTTTTTTTTTTAAGACCACTTCAAGTTCCCTCCTTGCACTTTTCCTTTTTGTTTGCTTCTACAATATACTTGAAGCAAAGCAAGATCCCAAACTGTGGAGACGTTCCTGCCCCACTCCCCTCCAAAGGAACCTCTCTCACTCTCGGTCTAGCCAAGCTCAGTTTCACCTGACTCAAGCCTCCATCGCCAAATTGATTCCCTCTTTGGGATATTTCTGGAAAACCCTAGAACAAAAAGCAATAAATGGCTGAATGCTCTTGGGGGAGGCGGTTATTACAGGCAGCTACAGGATTCAGGGCTCCAATATTCCACTTTTTCATCCCCCTCCCCCCTCCCATTTTCTAGTATAAAAGTGCCACAGAACTCAAAAGTCAGAACTTCGATTTCCAGCCGGCCACTACAGTAATAAGACTTCAGTGAAGCTACAACTGCTTAGGTGTCATCTGTAACGTGGGCTGTACTTCACAAGATTGTCACAATTCATGCAAATACCTAGTGAGGATCTTTTAAGTACCAGGTCCTGGGCATGTGCCTACAACCCTCCAAAAAGCCATGCCATGATCTCTCCACCTTTAAGACCTTCCTTCTTCCTAAGTTCATAAAGGCTAGAGACAAGCCACATCAGAGTGTGTGACCTCCAGCAGTGCTGGGCTACAGGGTCTCTGAAGTCCCAACTCTGAGATTAAGAGCTCAAGTTGTTTAATATTTACCTTCCCAGCTTCAAGGGAATGTTAGGAGGATAAAGCAAGCTCAGAGTTGTAGAAGGGCTTTGAAGAGGAAGGTGCACATACAAACAAGGTATTAATTATATCAGATAATTTCTTTGAGCGCAACTTCATAGACACCAGTGAGATTCATAACCCAGGGGCAAACAACTGCAGCAACTGTTCCTTAGCAATATGGAAAGTGTTGTCTCCTTGGCCAAACTTGAGAGTTTGCGTGTACCCTCAGGATAGTTCTTTCAACACTGGATCCAGGCTGTGGCTGCTGCAAATGGAGGATGAGAAGCTTGGGGGAAGGAGGAGGGAGGTAGAAAGGTATCAAAAGCTGAGGACCCGGGGGAGAAGTACCAATATTTTATTTTTGTATTTCTTTTGGGGAATTGCAATTTGTTTGGAACTAAGTGGACCCAGAAACTCATTTTAACTTAATAGAAAAGGAAAGAAAAGGTGGCAGCCCATTCTCCAGGAAACTCATTCTAAGAACCAGTCATGGGGCAGGGAGACTCCAGGTGAGCCATGCACATTAACCCACTCTTTGTTTTATAATCCAGGTGTGCTCCTGGCACAGAACACCCCATTCTCACAACCATAAACGAGACACCTGAGAACACTGAATTTCCTCAAAAGGTTTAAGATGCCTGACGTCACCAGGAAGCACTCACCAACCGGACCATGAAATCGAAAACCTGATCACCGCTTCTCCCCAACAACCTCAAACCTAGTGAAGTAATAGCTAATTTGATATTTCTTGCTTGAGTAAGAAAGATAAGGCACAGACAACACTCAAAGCCACAGCCTGCTCTTGGAGACCGGAGTCAGAGAACTTGACAATGGGGTGGAAGGGGGGTAGATCTGGCAGAGGTCTGGTTAGCAATAAGGCTTCCTCAGGAACCCGGAGTTGAACTTGGGGCCCTGCCTAAATTAACGTTTTTTACAGGTTGGCTGCGTTGCAGTTTGTTAGCCAGCCAGTAATAAACCCAAGCACAAGAATTTAACGTTTATGAGGCATGGCCTCTCCATGCCTCTCCGCAGCTCCCTACAGCCAAGGGTTTGGCCCAGCCTGGTGTTAATTGTTTTGTCAATCTGCAGAATTATTTGGGGAAACAAGAGGGGTGGGAGGCTTCCACAGACCGAAGACCTCCAATCTTCTTTTGGAGAGACAAAGTAGAGCCATTCTGTTCTCTCATAGAGGGCACCCTCACATTTAAGCCAAGCAGTGGAAATTGGTACCTGGGGTTGGGGATATGCTGATGGAGGCATTAGAGAAATGCTCAGTGGCAACAGTTCTTAATTGTCTGAGTCAGGTGAACTGGATTCCCTCTCCAGCAAAATGCACCCACAAGTTCCCAGGTACACAGTTTAAGACTCTCCAGAACCATACCCAAGGATCCCAGGTTAAGCACCCCTGTGTAAGAATTTGGGTTTGAGCCCATGGAAGAACCATCCCCATCTTCCCCCATTGGAGGGACAGGGCCCTCCAACAGTCAACAGCTGCCTGGATCTCTTAATACGCTGATTCTTCGCAACAAGAGACCCTCACTCTCAAGTTTTTGAACTCTCTGTGTGTGTGTATGTATGTGTGTGTGTGGGGGTGTAGCTAGTAACCGGGAGATCAAAAGGTGCTTTGATCTCCCATCCACCACTCTGTAGCCCAAGACCCGCTGGCTTGGGACACCCCCAAGGTTACTAAGTGACCTAACATCCCAGTCCCAAAACCCTGGGGATGAGGGTGTTCTCCGTGCGTGATGGCCCCAGCCCAGGTGTGCCAGGCCCAGGTTCCAGGCAAGCTGCAGGGGCGCCAAGCCCTCCGGGAAGAGCAGAGTTAAGAGTGCATTCCAGCTGCCAGGGAAGAAGGGGGAGGGGAGCGACGAGAAAAGAAACAGACCCTGTCTGTCTGTCGGAGTCACAAAGCTCGGTTCACAAAGGGGGCCCGAGAGGGGCGAAGGGGGGCTGCCCGGGGCACAGCTCATCCCCACACCTGCGCGGGGGAAGGAGAAGGAATGTGGACGGCGCATTCCTCTGCTGGGGCCAGCCGGGGGAGCTTCCCACGTCTGGACAGGGTGAGGGGAAGTCGTCCGGCACCCCGAAGGAGGGGTCACGGAAAGCTGAGGCTGCGAGGCAAGGAGAGGACTTGGACCGTAGGGGGCGCTATAATCTCCCGCCTTCTCTCGTTAGCCGCCTAGTCACCCACATTTCCGCCCCAACACGCTCTCTGCGCCTCCCCTGGACCTGAGGTGGGGTCAGAACTCCCCCGGCCCAGCCTGGACGCGCTTGGTCCGAGCTACACCGGAGCGGACCACGTGCGGCCGCCATCCAGCCGCTGTACTCGAGCGGACTCCTGAAGGGTCTTACCTTTCCCCAGTGCCTGGCCTGGTTCCAGCTCCGCACCTCCCGCCTCCAAGGTCACTTCAGCCTCCCCGAAGCCCGCCCTGCACGGTTCAGATGCTGCGCACCGCGGCCAGCAAACCTGCACCCGAGGGAAGAGGGCAAACAGAGAGAAGCCGGGTTACAGGCGTGCCCTGCCCTGCACACACGCACACCCCACCCTGGGGAGTCCTCCGGATACCTCAGCTCGAGGAGCCTTGCCCGTTCTCTCCCCGACGCCAACGCCCCGTGCGGACCCCACCCGCCCTCCAGGGACAAGTTCCCGCCCGGGCAAGGGCAAGGCAGTGGAGTACCTGGACGAGGATGAGGACGACGAAGAGGAAGGGCGCAGGAGGCCCCCTGGAAATCCCCATGGTGGGAGAGAGAGGTGAAGACTGTACCGCAACCGCGGGCTGTTTCACTGTAAAGCCCTTGGCGTCCCTTGGAGCTCGGCGGCTCGTCTAAGTCAGGGGGAGGAGGCCAGGTGAGCGCAGGTAGGTGCTGATTGGCCCAGCGCCTTGAGGCCCCGCCTCCTCGCAGGTGGGGCCGCTGCCAGCGCGCTCTAGGCGCTGGTGAAGCCCCTCTTGCCCTCCCAGGTGCCCTCCTCCGTTCTCCCGGATTTCCTAGAACTGCTCCCTGCAGGGCTCAGCGTCTCGGTTCTGAGTTCGAGAAAAACCAAAACCCACTCCGCTACCTCAAGAGCGCGGGAAAAAAGAAAAATGTTCCTGCGCGTTGAGGATACGGCGGAGGCGCATCTAAAGCTGACTGAAACTAAGGCGCCCAGTTTATGTTCCTCTGAGGCGCTCTGTTAAGCAGTGCTTTGATGGGGACTGATGTGCTGCTCCACCCCCAGCCGCAGTGAAGGCTGCCCTCTGCCTCTTTCTCCACTTCCCACGCTGGCCCGTCCGGATTGCCCCCGGGTTTAAAATTAGCAGTGAGTCCCTAAGGGACTGAATTAGCGAATTTGTTCCAAAGCCCTCCAGCGGGCAGGAGAATCGTTACTCCCATTTCGCAGCTAAGCAAATGGAGGCTAGAAAAGAAATGACTCGCTCTAGGTCCCAGAGATTGGAACTAAAATGTGTGAGGCAGGGAGGGTGGTTATTCGCCTCATAATCTCCAGCACACCTCCTTAATATAGATTGACGTTACCTCAACTTCATGTAAAGTGTAAATAATGGCATTTTTTAAAATGCTGGTTTTTAGATCTGAAATGCTGAGCTAGCTGTGCAAAGCAGCCTCCTCGGGATTGTCGTTTCAAAAACAGTTCTCCTACCTTCTTACTGCAGGAGGAGGAACTGGGATTCAAAACCTCCGTCCTCTGTATTACACCTGAAGTGGTTTTCTCTTCGCGGCACACGAGGTGGACCCAGGGTCTGAAAACAGTCCTGAGACTCAGTCACTCTATCCCGCCAGCCTTTTCCCACTGAGCTGGGCTTTTCCAGCAGGCCCGCTGCTTTTTTCCCTAAGCTCCCCTACACCTATCCCCACTCCAGCTGCTTTGAGAATCTCAGCCTGACCCCTCCTCCCTCCCTCACACCCAGCTCAGATTTTAGGGTTAGAAGACAGGGCTGGAGTTTCTAATTATAGATTCTTTGGCCCTCTAAGGCACTCTGGTGGCGCAGTGGTTAAAGCATTCGGCTGCTAACCAAAAGGTCGGCTGTTTGAACCCACGAGCCGCTCTGCAGGAGAAGATGAGGCAGTCTGCTTCCATAAAGATTTACAGCCTTGGAAAACCTATGGGGGCAATTCTGCTCTGTCACTATGAGTAGGAATGACTGGATAGCAGGGGGTTTAATTTGGTTTGGGACCCACCAGCCACTCCTTGGAAGGAAAGCTGGGCAATCTACTTCCGTAAAGATACCTACTGCCTGGGAAACCAAGGATGGATAGCTGAGTTGGATCTGGCTTGATGGCAGTGAGTTTGGTTTTTTAATTTTAAGTCTAAGTTAAGGAGCTCTGGTGGTCCTCGGAAGGAAGATTGGGCAGTCTACTTCCGTAGTGTTACCACCTCAGAAACCCAAGGAGGTGTCGCTATAACTTGAATCCCACTCAAAGACAACAGTGAGGTTTTTTTTGTTTTGTTTTGTTTGGTGGTATAGTGGTTAAGGCATATGGTTGCTAACCAAAAGGTCAGTGGTTCAAACCCGCCAGCCATTCTGTGGAAGAAGAATGAGGCAGTCAGCTTCTGTAAAGATTTACAGCGATGGAAACGCAGTGGGGGTCGCTATGAGTTGGATTTGACTTGATGGCAGTGAGTTTGGTTTGGTTTTGAGGTCTAACCTGGTGACCCACCCACCCTGCCCATAAGCAGGCCTGTGGCTAAGGGGTAAGCTGCTGTATTGAGATCCACTAACCTTGGGAGTCCTTTCTCTACCTCAGCGTAGCTCTAGGGCCTGGCTGCCTGGGTTCAAATTTGGGTTCTACTACTTACTAGCTTTGTGGCTTCAGGCAAGTGAAATAACTGCTCTGGGCCTCAGTTTTGCATCTGTCAAATGGGGCTATTATATGACACTTACCCTCAAAAAGGGGAGCTCTGGTGGCATAGTGCCTAAGGCATTTGACTGCTAACCAGAAGGCTGGCAGTTCAAACCCACCAGCCACTCCT